CGTCCGAGCCGCAGCGCGCGGGGTGGTGGTGCTGGTGGCGATTGTCCCCGGAGGGCTTCCTGGAGGAGGGGACTGCTCCCCTGGGGCCCAAGGAGAAGAAATGGGCGGAGAGAACGGAGGGCCACCTTTCGACCAAGTGGGGCCCGGTGCCGGACCCCGGGACAGGCCTGGGACTCCAGACGTGGGTCCTCTCTGATGCCCTCGACCGGGGGCTGGGAACACCTAGAGCCCAGGATCGGACTCTGGTCCCGGGGATTGGGAAACTCCTGATGTAGCCAAAGCGAATGTGGCGCTGAGATCGCCTTCTTTGCGGGCCAGACCGGGAGGGAGCAAGGGGTGCCCAGTTAGGGCACCTTTTTGTCTTGGCCTTTTCTTGACCTTTCCATCCCCATTCCCTGGTCCTGACCCGCTGCTTCTGACCTTCCCCGGCCTTACCCGAAAAGCCTCCCCAGGCCCCTCCCCAACATCAGGGGCCACTTAGGAGTTAGTGGACAGCCCCCAAAGCTGAGTGCAGCTCAGCACTCCCAGGTCCGACTGGGATGCCTCCCCGATCAGTGATGGCTCCACCACCCACCCAGACTCCCTTCTCCCCTCACCTCCCATCAGCTACTGTGGGTCCTTCTATTCTTCCTTCTAGTATCTGCCCGCTTCCATGCTGTCCCCCACCAGGACGCCTGCGGCAGCTTCCCTCCTCTGGTCTCCCTGCCTCCAGCAGGGCCAGCCCACTGCCCCATGCAGTCAGAGGGCTCTGGCTGAGGTAGAGGTGCTGTCACCTCCTCTTTCTCCCAAATGCTGAAAGGCCAATCTTGACCTTCACAGCTCTGGGGCCTGGTCTCTGCCCCTGTGGCCCATTGTCTCCCACTGGGCTGTTGTTGATGCTCAGTGTCTGCCTCTGCAGGCCCACTCTATGCCCCTGTCTGCACTTGGCCTCCAGTGTCCTTCCTGCTCTGCCTGTCACCTGCCCTCACCCAGTGGAGTCTCCCCCAGCCAGAAGGGATGTTTTCCCTCCTTCCCTCTTCCACGATCCCCTCCCCCAGAACATGACCCAGCCCTGACCCAGGCTACGGCCTCCTTCCTGCCCAGGTACCTGCTGGAGCAGCGGGACGTGGAGGTGAATGTGCGGGACAAGTGGGACAGCACCCCCTTGTAAGTGCCAGACAGGCAGGGTGGGTGGCCGGCAGGGGGACTCTTCAGTGCTGATAGCCGCCTGCCCATGCTTCTTTCTTCCCCCAGGTACTACGCTTGCCTGTGTGGGCATGAGGAGCTGGTGCTGTACCTGCTGGCCAATGGTGAGGGAGGGCGGGGGTGGTGAGTGCGTGCGCGTGCGCGTGCCTTCCTGCACACTTGCGACCTCAGGCCACTCCAGTCAGCAAGCACTGCTAGCTCTATTTCAAAACCTGTTCTCTGCCCACTTTGCCCACCTCCACTGCTGCCACCCAGGCCCAGCTACCCACATCTCTCCTTCGACACTGTGCCGGCCTCCCTCCAGCGTCCAGCCTCCTCTCTTGCCTACCTTATAGTGTATTCTTCATGTTGCAGCCAGGTAGATCTTTTCACAACAAATCTGATAGGCTTAAAATCCTCTGAGTTCCCACTGTGTTTAGGTTAAACTAGACTACGTTGCCATGCTCATGAGGTTCCACAGAGTCTGTCCTTCCCTTGTTGGTCTCCTCTCCTGTGGCTCTCCCACCTGCACACCGTTCACGCATATTGGCCTTCTCTGGTGCTCCATGATGCCATACCTGCTCCTGTGCCTGCTCCTGCTCCCCCTTCTGCTCTTGCTTCTGCTCCTGTGCCTGCTCTTCCTTTGCCTGCTTCTACTTCTTCTGCACCTACTCCTGCTCCTGCTCCTCCTGCACCTGCTCCTGCTCCTCCTCCTCCTGCTCCTCCTCCTGTGCCTGCTCCTGTGCCTGCTCCTGCGCCTGCTCCTCCTTCTGCATCTGCTCCTGTGTGTGCACCTGCTTCTCCTTCTATGCCTGACCCAGCTCCCGTTCCTCCTGTGCCTGCTCCTGCTCCTGCTTCTTGCACCTGCTCCTCCTCCTGCGCCTGCTCCTCCTTCTGCACCTGTTCCTGTGCCTGCTCCTCCTGTGCCTGCTTCTACTCCTTCTGCACCTGCTCCTCCTCCTGCACCTGCTCCTTCCACACCTGCTCCTCCTCCTCCTCCTCCTGTGCCTGCTTCTACTCCTTCTGCACCTGCTCCTCCTCCTCCTCCTCCTGTGCCTGCTTCTACTCCTTCTTCACCCACTCCTCCTGTACCTGCTCCTGTGCCTGCACCTGCTTCTATGCTTGAGCCAGCTCCTGTTCCTCCTCTTGCTCCTCTTCCTGCTCCTGTGCTTGCTGCTTCTTATGCTTCTCCTCCTCCTCCTGCTCTTCGTCCTGCTCCTGCCGCTCCTCATGCTCCTCCTGCTTCTGCTCCTGTTCCTCCTCATGCTCCTGCTGCTCCTGCTGCTCCTCTTCCTCCTCCTGCTTCTGCTCCTGTGCCTGCTCCTGCCTCCTGCTCCTTTTCGTGCTCCTCATCCTGCTCCTCCTCATGCTCCTCCTCTTCCATCTGCTCCTCCTCCTGCTCCCACTCCTGCTCCTGCTTCTGTTCCTGCTCCTGCCTCCTGCACCTGCTCTTGCCTCCTGTGCTTGCCTCAGGGCCTTTGCACTTACTGTTCCTTCTGCTTGGACTGCCCTTTCCCAAATCTTTGCTCCTCCTGCTCCTTACTTCATTCAGGTTTCTACATGTCCTCACCACCATACAGTGACCTTCCACAACCCCCTGGGTTTCAGCCACCACCATCCTGTCTCCTCCTGCTTTGTTGTTCTTCACAGAACCTGCCATCATTTGTTAACTGTTCATCGTCCTGCCCACAAGAGTGTAGGTTCAGTGATGGGGGGTGGGGGGTCCTGTGCATACAACAGGGCCAGCCAGAGTCTGCTCTCAAATTGGCGTAGTTTGTAGTATGTGTGAGTGAATATGTGCATATGGGAGTGTTCACAGATGTACCCACCTGATTAGGCCTTGACAGGGAGGATGCTGGGGTCAGAGTGGGCCCAGGATAATTTGGGAAGAGGTCTCCAGGGCCTAGGTGCTCCATGTGTGGGGAGGTGGGGAGCAGGACAGGAGACTAGGATTTCCCAGGCCCCTCCCCAGCTGCAGCCACAGCCCATGACCCTGCTGATGGGTGAGCCCTGCTGCCCCCAGGAGCCCGCTGTGAGGCCAACACCTTTGATGGCGAGCGCTGCCTGTATGGGGCACTGAATGATGCCATCCGCCGGGCTCTGCGTGATTACAAGCAGGTCACAGCCTCCTGCAGACGACGGGATTACTATGACGACTTCCTGCAGCGGTGAGCTGGGGTGGGGTCACACTCAGGGCAGCTGGCATTGCACAGTGGGTCTGCCGTAGTGTGGCGTGCCCCTGCTGAGGGCTCTCCTGAGGGATGGGAGGGGATGGGGGCCGTGCTGAGCATGCCCCCTCCTGGCTCTCCCCTCCCCAGGCTCCTGGAGCAGGGCATCCACAGTGACGTGGTCTTCATAGTGCACGGGAAGCAGTTCCGGGCACACCGCTGCATCCTGGGTGCACGCAGCACCTACTTCGCCAACATGCTGGACACTAAGTGGAAGGGCAAGAGCATCGTGGTCCTTAGACATCCCCTGGTGCGTCCCTCCAGAGTGGCAGAGGGGCAGCCAACTATCTAGGGACAGCGGGGCTTGTGCTGGGCAGTTGCCTCTGACCTTTCCTTCTGGCCATCTCTCTGCCCACAGATCAACCCAGTGGCCTTCGGGGCCCTGCTGCAGTACCTGTACACAGGTGATCCCTGGGTCCAGGGTGGGGTGGGTGGGGACAGTAACAGACCCGGCTTTCTGGACAGCAACAGACCTGGCTGTGGCCTTGGGCTCACCTTTCACCTCTAGGCTGTGCCTCCCGTATTGGGTTGCAAGACAGTGGGCTGGTGTGCCTGCTCAGGAATAGCTTGTCCCTTCCACAAACTGAGTCCCCTCCAGTCTGTCCCTGGGGTCTGTGTAACTCAGGCAGTGGCTCTTGATGGGGAAACCAAGGCAGCAAGGACAGCAACAGTGGGCTGGTGTGCCTGCTCAGGAATAGCTTGTCCCTTCCACAAACTGAGTCCCCTCCTGTCTGTCCCTGGGGTCTGTGTAACTCAGGCAGTGGCTCTTGATGGGGAAACCAAGGCAGCAAGTAGGCCCAGGAGTCCCAGCCTGCAGCCTGGGTAAGAGGGGCCGCCACCCAGGAAACTGTGTGTGCCTGACGCTGGCTGAGGGCCCCTCTCAGGCCCCATCCTCCCTCACCGCATGCAGGCCGCCTGGACATTGGCGTGGAGCACGTCAGTGACTGCGAGCGCCTGGCCAAGCAGTGCCAGCTGTGGGACCTGCTCGGCGACCTGGAGGCCAAGTGTGAGAAGGTGTCCGAGTTTGGTGCGTCTGGGGTTTGGGGTCCAAGACTTTGCACAGTGACTGGCAGGGCTGACTTGGCTCCCTGAGTTGATCTTCCCTTTGCAGTGGCGTCCAAGCCAGGCACGTGTGTGAAGGTGCTGACCATCGAGCCCCCGCCAGCAGACCCCCGACTGCGGGAGGACATGGCACTGCTGGCTGACTGTGCCCTGCCCCCTGAGCTGCGAGTGAGTGCAGGGCAGTGCTGGGCCGGAGGGATGTCTGGGGATGGGGGCTGTGACAGGCAAGTCCCCAACACTTGGGCTCAGCTCCTGTGTGACCTTGGGCCAGCCACGTGCCTTTTCTGAGCCTAGCTGTTCACTTCTGTGAGTGCTCTGCTCTGATAGAGCCGCCTCTGCGTACCAGGGTGACCTCGGAGAGCTGCCCTTCCCATACCCTGATGGCTTCAACAGCTGCCCGGACGTGTGCTTCCAAGTGGCTGGTTGCAGCTTCCTCTGCCACAAGGTGCCTGTTCCCTCCCATCCGCCACCCCCAACCCATTGCACTGAGCCGGGGCCGGCCCCTTGGGAGGCAGACCCTGGCCTGCACACTGCCTGAGCCCAGCCTTCCCCAGGCCTTCTTCTGCGGCCGCAGCGACTACTTCCGGGCCCTGCTGGATGACCACTTTCGGGAGAGTGAGGAGCCAATGGCTGCAGGGGGTCCCCCGGCCATCACCCTGCAAGGCATCTCACCTGACGTCTTTACCCACGTGCTCTATTATGTCTACAGCGACCACACTGAGGTGCAGGGCGTCGGTGGGGCACTAGGACTGGGGTCATGGGGCCCACGTGGGTTTTAATTTCAGGCAGATGGGCCCTTGGTAGTCTGCAGAGCAGAAGCGAGTGACAAGACTCATGTCCTGAGCACAGGACCCTTGGGGAGCCAGGTCAGCNGCACTGAATGATGCCATCCGCCGGGCTCTGCGTGATTACAAGCAGGTCACAGCCTCCTGCAGACGACGGGATTACTATGACGACTTCCTGCAGCGGTGAGCTGGGGTGGGGTCACACTCAGGGCAGCTGGCATTGCACAGTGGGTCTGCCGTAGTGTGGCGTGCCCCTGCTGAGGGCTCTCCTGAGGGATGGGAGGGGATGGGGGCCGTGCTGAGCATGCCCCCTCCTGGCTCTCCCCTCCCCAGGCTCCTGGAGCAGGGCATCCACAGTGACGTGGTCTTCATAGTGCACGGGAAGCAGTTCCGGGCACACCGCTGCATCCTGGGTGCACGCAGCACCTACTTCGCCAACATGCTGGACACTAAGTGGAAGGGCAAGAGCATCGTGGTCCTTAGACATCCCCTGGTGCGTCCCTCCAGAGTGGCAGAGGGGCAGCCAACTATCTAGGGACAGCGGGGCTTGTGCTGGGCAGTTGCCTCTGACCTTTCCTTCTGGCCATCTCTCTGCCCACAGATCAACCCAGTGGCCTTCGGGGCCCTGCTGCAGTACCTGTACACAGGTGACCCCTGGGTCCAGGGTGGGGTGGGTGGGGACAGTAACAGACCCGGCTTTCTGGACAGCAACAGTGGGCTGGTGTGCCTGCTCAGGAATAGCTTGTCCCTTCCACAAACTGAGTCCCCTCCTGTCTGTCCCTGGGGTCTGTGTAACTCAGGCAGTGGCTCTTGATGGGGAAACCAAGGCAGCAAGTAGGCCCAGGAGTCCCAGCCTGCAGCCTGGGTAAGAGGGGCCGCCACCCAGGAAACTGTGTGTGCCTGACGCTGGCTGAGGGCCCCTCTCAGGCCCCATCCTCCCTCACCGCATGCAGGCCGCCTGGACATTGGCGTGGAGCACGTCAGTGACTGCGAGCGCCTGGCCAAGCAGTGCCAGCTGTGGGACCTGCTCGGCGACCTGGAGGCCAAGTGTGAGAAGGTGTCCGAGTTTGGTGCGTCTGGGGTTTGGGGTCCAAGACTTTGCACAGTGACTGGCAGGGCTGACTTGGCTCCCTGAGTTGATCTTCCCTTTGCAGTGGCGTCCAAGCCAGGCACGTGTGTGAAGGTGCTGACCATCGAGCCCCCGCCAGCAGACCCCCGACTGCGGGAGGACATGGCACTGCTGGCTGACTGTGCCCTGCCCCCTGAGCTGCGAGTGAGTGCAGGGCAGTGCTGGGCCGGAGGGATGTCTGGGGATGGGGGCTGTGACAGGCAAGTCCCCAACACTTGGGCTCAGCTCCTGTGTGACCTTGGGCCAGCCACGTGCCTTTTCTGAGCCTAGCTGTTCACTTCTGTGAGTGCTCTGCTCTGATAGAGCCGCCTCTGCGTACCAGGGTGACCTCGGAGAGCTGCCCTTCCCATACCCTGATGGCTTCAACAGCTGCCCGGACGTGTGCTTCCAAGTGGCTGGTTGCAGCTTCCTCTGCCACAAGGTGCCTGTTCCCTCCCATCCGCCACCCCCAACCCATTGCACTGAGCCGGGGCCGGCCCCTTGGGAGGCAGACCCTGGCCTGCACACTGCCTGAGCCCAGCCTTCCCCAGGCCTTCTTCTGCGGCCGCAGCGACTACTTCCGGGCCCTGCTGGATGACCACTTTCGGGAGAGTGAGGAGCCAATGGCTGCAGGGGGTCCCCCGGCCATCACCCTGCAAGGCATCTCACCTGACGTCTTTACCCACGTGCTCTATTATGTCTACAGCGACCACACTGAGGTGCAGGGCGTCGGTGGGGCACTAGGACTGGGGTCATGGGGCCCACGTGGGTTTTAATTTCAGGCAGATGGGCCCTTGGTAGTCTGCAGAGCAGAAGCGAGTGACAAGACTCATGTCCTGAGCACAGGACCCTTGGGGAGCCAGGTCAGCCATGTGGGGCCCAGGGTTCTCCAGCAGGAGGGTGGGTGGGGACTGTAACCCTGAGTTCCCTTAACGGGGAGCCTCGAGCCTCGTGCCTCTGGGTTGCTGCAGATTCCTGGGGTCTGGATTCCCTTGCCACCTCCCTCTGTCACAGCTGCCCTGAGGCATCTCTGACACAAGGCCACGCGAGCAGGAGCAGGTAGCACTAGAAGTTTGTCCTGCTAGGCTATGTGAACATGTGTGCATTTGGGCCACACCACTGTAATAGAGACCCCAAAATGTGGTGGCTTAAAGAAGAGAGTGGTTTGTTTCTCCTTTGTATCTGAGGGGAATGCCCCAGGGCAGGTGGCTTGCTGGGGAACCAGGTTGTTCCCTTCTATCTTGTTGCCTTGCTATGCCCCAGGGCAGGGGCCGCAAACCTTTTCTCTTAAGGTAGACGTTTTAGGCTTTGGGGCCATATGGTCTCTGCCATAGCATCTCAGCTTTGTAGTGTGAAAGCGGATGTAGACGATATGGAGATGATGGGTATGGCTTGTTCTGATAAAGCTTTATTTATAAAAACAGGCTGGATCTGGACCCCAGGCTGTAGTTTACCCACCCTGCCCTGGGGCGTTGTCCTCTGTATATGGAGAGTGGTCACAGGCCAACTCATGCTCTGGGAGGAAGAGGAAGGGCAGGGCGAAAGGCGTCCTTTCTCAGGAGCTCTGGAGGCTGTGCACACATCTCCTGCTCCACTGGGGGGGCCTGGTGGCTGTACTTGCCAGCGAGGGAGGCTGGAAGTGTCTCTGGCCAGGTCTCTGTTACTGGGAGAAGGGGAGAAGGTGCATTGGGACAGGCGGCTGTCTCGTCCACAGCACCCAGTGGTGACATGCACCTCCATTCGCCTCCTACAGCCCCCAACCCCCAGTCCTGTCTCTCAGTGGCCTGCCGGACTCTTTGCTTGGGTTCCCTCCCCAGGCCCAGCCACTCACTGGGTCCTCAGGCCTCCATCCCTCTCTCCTTATTTACTTCATTGCTCCTGCAGTTTGGCCCAGCTCTCTGGCCCCTGCCATCTGGGGTCCACCTTGGCCTATCCTGAGAAACTCCCTCCTGAAGGAGCTTTGTCACCCCAAGGGCACCTTCTTAATGACTCAGAACATGGATTGGGCTCTAAGCCTGGGCTGATGCTGGATTAGCCCCTCATGAGCTGTGTGATCTTGGGCAGGTTGCTTAACTGCTCTGTGCCTCAGTTTTCTTCTCTAGAAAATGTGACTGACACTGGTCATTACTTCCTAAGGTCTTGTGCAAATGAGCATGTTATCTCAGGTAAGGTACATGGCATGGTGCCTGGCACACAGTAAACACCAGGCACATAGCCGGTGATGTGGCAGCAGAGGCTCCCTCACCTTTGTCTCCAGCCTGCTCGCTGTGGCCTCCAAAGTCTGGACCGAAGCTGGCACGTGTCCCTCCCCAGTGTGGGCTGTGACTGTGGGGTACTTCGTGCATGCACGGAGAGGTGGTAGTTACTCCCCACTCTCGGCAGGGGCCCTGCTTCAGTCTTGAATAGTCTCACTTCCTAACAGCCTTTTGAGGCAGGCGTGATTATCTGTGCCTCACAAAGGAGGAAACTGAGGCTCAGAGAAGCAGAGTGCCTTGCCCAGGGTCCCACAGCTGAAAGCATGAGAGCCCAGGTCTGTGTGATTCAGAGCTCCTGCCCTTCCCTTGGGAGGCTCTGCCCGAGGCGTGGCATGCCTGGTCTCCCCTGCCCCCTTGTAGTCCCATGGATCCCTGTGGGAACATGGGCAGGGAGCTTCCGCTCCCACTCAAAGCCACCACCCTCTCCCTGGCAGGTCCCAGCCCTGGCCACTGAGCCTTGAGAGCCCTTGGTGACCTGGGATGAACCTCACCCCCTCTTTTACTGCAGCTGCTGCCCGAGGTGGCCTACAACGTGCTGAGCGTGGCTGACATGTACCTGTTGCCGGGCCTGAAGAGGCTGTGTGGCCGCAGCCTGGCCCAGCTGCTGGACGAGGACAGCGTGGTGGGGGTGTGGCGTGTAGCCAAGCTGTTCTGCCTGGCGCGGCTGGAGGACCAGTGCACTGAGTACATGGCCAAGGTCATCGAGAAGGTGGGCCAGCGGCCCCACAGCGGGTGGCAGAGGAGTAAGGGTGGGCGTGCAGCCTGCGCTGAGCCGGCCGGCCTGTCCCACAGCTGGTGGAGCGGGAGGACTTCGTGGAGGCGGTGAGGGAGGAGGCGGCGGCAGTTGCGGCCCGTCAGGAGACAGACTCCATCCCGCTGGTGGACGACATCCGCTTCCACGTGGCCAGCACAGTGCAGACCTACAGTGCCATTGAGGAGGCGCAGCAGCGGCTGCAAGCGCTTGAGGACCTGCTCGTGTCCATTGGCCTGGACTGCTGAGTCCCCGCCAGCTGTCTTGAGGACAAGCGTGTGTGTGTGTGTCTGCATCTGCGGCTGCTCATCCTGCTCCTCACATACTTGAGGGCCCCACCATGGGCCAAGGTGGTCCAGTGGGGCTCCCCTCATGAGCCTGGGGACCCCAGGGGAGGTCTCCTCGGGATGAGCCCCCTCCCCCAATGCACAAGCCTGCCCCCAAGACTCTGGGGCTGGGCACCACTCAGGGAAAGCTGAGGTAGGGGCGGGCTTTGGTCTCCTCCCTGGCCCTCCCAGGACTGGGCCAGGCCTGGACGCCTCTCTGAGCCAGCTGCTCCCACACACACGGCCAGTCAGGACGGGCTAGGAAGAGACCATGTGTGGCAATAAAGCTTGAATTTGCTGTGGGAACCTGAACCTGTGTCCCAGGGCGTGGCTGAGGAGGTGGGGCTTTTTGAGGACCTGCTCGTGTCCATTGGCCTGGACTGCTGAGTCCCCGCCAGCTGTCTTGAGGACAAGCGTGTGTGTGTGTGTCTGCATCTGCGGCTGCTCATCCTGCTCCTCACATACTTGAGGGCCCCACCATGGGCCAAGGTGGTCCAGTGGGGCTCCCCTCATGAGCCTGGGGACCCCAGGGGAGGTCTCCTCGGGATGAGCCCCCTCCCCCAATGCACAAGCCTGCCCCCAAGACTCTGGGGCTGGGCACCACTCAGGGAAAGCTGAGGTAGGGGCGGGCTTTGGTCTCCTCCCTGGCCCTCCCAGGACTGGGCCAGGCCTGGACGCCTCTCTGAGCCAGCTGCTCCCACACACACGGCCAGTCAGGACGGGCTAGGAAGAGACCATGTGTGGCAATAAAGCTTGAATTTGCTGTGGGAACCTGAACCTGTGTCCCAGGGCGTGGCTGAGGAGGTGGGGCTTTTGCAGCAAGAGCTGGTGAGGAGCAAGCGGGGGCTCTAGAGTTGGGGCTCGGACCTCCTCACTGGCACCGCTCCTCTTGAGGTGCGTGAGGGGCTGCCTGGGCGCCCAGCAGAGGCAGGTTCAGAGCTCTGGCCAAGGAGACCCAGACATCTGCGGCTGATCCCAGCCCTGGCCTGGGCCCAGCCTGGCTCCCTCCACTCCCCGCCCGCTCTGGCCTCTGGCTGTTGGGGGCCTCATTGCAGGAGAGGGGCTGGGGGCTGAAACAACCATTTTCTCTCTGCCCAGGGCCAGTCTCCTCCACAGACTCCCATCCCACTGCTCTGGCCTCTGGCTGTTGGGGGCCTCATTGCAGGAGAGGGGCTGAGGGCTGAAACAACCATTTTCTCTCTGCCCAGGGCCAGTCTCCTCCACAGACTCCCATCCCACACCATCCTGCCTTTTCAACTCAGAGTGGCACACAGCCCTGGGCAGGGAGAGGAGTGTGTGACGGCTCCTCGGGCCTCTGCTACTGGGTGTCTGGCTCACCCTGTGGCTGTTTTGCAGGTCTTCATGCCTTTTTACTGTGTCATTTTCTAGAACTTTTTATGTTTTTTTCTCTCCCTCCCCAGTGTTTTTTCATCTGTTTTCCTCTTGCGCGTTAGTTGCATGGGGGAAACTGTCAGGTCTGCAGTGACCATAATGAGTGCCCAGCTGGGACAGTTATCCGGCAGTAGGGGAGGAGGGTGATGAGTATGTTGGACAGGTGTGGAGGGAGGCGGCCTCTGGCAGCCCAGTAGGTGGGGATGGTTCACATGGTCAGAGGCCGGAGTTCCCTCCATGGCACTGCATTTTACTACCTGGTCACCGCTCTTTGCCCCAGTTTGCCCACCTGTAGATTGGGAATGATTATAAAGTAACTCCCTCCTGGCTTGGAATGTTGCTGAGTTGTTATTTGAGAAGGGCTTTGCACAGCAACTGACTTATGATGATCCTGGTGTGTTTGTTGAGTTCCACCCAGTGGAGGTGGGGGCAGGGGAAGGACAGGGGCTGACTTGCATTTTTGAAAGTTCTCTCTGGTTGCCCTGGAGCGCACAGATAGGAGGTGTGGGGCCGAGGCTACCACAGGCCCCACCGCAGACCATACTAACCCTGAGTGAGCCACGAATATAAGAGGGATTTAAACACTTAAAGGAAAAATCTTTTAAATTACTATGCATTTCTTTTAATATGTATTGGGGGGATATGAGCTGGCACATCAAACCCATCTTTTTTACAGATGTTATTTGAAATCATATACAGTTTCTACTTTTCAACAGATTTGAAGTAAAAACACTAGTGAGGAGTGTTTCAGGAGAAATACTCTGGAGTTGATATTTCAGTGTTTCACTGATGAACAGCAGATGTGGTCAGACACACCAGCCAAGGCATCCGTACAAGACTGGCCACCCCCAGGAGCAAGGGGGCAGCACTCCCCAGCCCCCCTGTCCCTCAGTTCGGTCCCAGGGGGGCCGCCAGGGCGATGAGAGGCACTTGTGGATGAAGGTGCTGGATGCAGTGCTGCGAGGAAACAGGAAACCTTGCAAACAGCCTCAGTGAATGGTCAGTGGGGGAGGGGATTGCAGCAAGTAAACGTGCTGGAGCTTTCTGTGGCCATAAAGACGGTCAGCACGGCATCCGTCCCTGAGGAGCGGTGAGGTCACGCGAGCTGCACCATGGAGCGCCCCTCAGGATCACAGAGGAAGTCGGGGAGGTTCCATCTGATTTCTCTTTAGTTTCTATAATGCTGTTGTACTACTCTTAGAATTAAAAGAACACACGTCCCTCACATAACTTAAATTCATTCCTGCTTCTAAGTGAAAAAAATCGTTGAATCAGAAATATTTCCATTTTATTTTGTTGAAAAAACTATATGCGTTCTATCCTAACTCAAGATACCCCTACATTTTCCACAGATAGAAAAATAAATCAATTGAGCAGTGACAGAGTGAGCAACGATTGAAAGGAAATAAGCAGTTTTGCACAAGGAATGGAACACGGGGACACTGTGCCCTTGGAGGGAAGGCCGAGGACTGCAAGGAGGGTGGGGGGGCCTTGACCCTGCAGCCAAAGAAGTCACAGTGAGGACCCCGCCTTTATCTAAAAGGTGGATATTTGGTTCATCATGAGCTTTTTCAATTAATTTTGCTTTTTAAAACATTACATTAAGGTAGTCTTTTCTTGATGACTTAAGATTCTCGGTGCCCCTTGAGTATTGTGTCCCAGGTGACTGCCTTACGTGCCTCACCTAGCCCAGCCCTGAGCTGAGTCTGTAATAAAAAATAAGAACTTACTGTTCCATCCATCCTGTAGAACGAGGATGCTTCAAGAAATTCATGGAAAGACTTGTATTATATTTAATTCTATTTTTCCATAAACTTTTCGATGTCCCCTTGTATACCCCCCACCTGAAAAAAAAAGGAAAAGGATCTGGAGTGTCTGCAGACGCTCTGTCCTGCACCTGGAGAGCTCTGCGTGGCCTTCAGTGCGCTCCTGCTGCAGCTGCCTGAGCAGTAGAAGCAGGGCTGGGGCTCTGTGTGGCCACGGGCATCTCCACGTCAGGGGCTGGGAGTGAGAGGGTCAGAGTGCTCTAGCCAGGATTAGGGGCAACCCTATTTCCTGCAGCAGAAATTCGTCACTTAGGAAAATTGAAAATAAACCAGACACTTATATTTTATGCCCTGAGAACTAAAGTGAGAGCTTCCAGCTGGAGTCAGACCAAGAAGATTCCCCATTGTGTGCCCTCTTCCCGGTATGCAGGTGTCCAGGCCAAGGTTGCTGGCTTCTTCAGGCCTCACCTACCGGACTGTCACCTGGCTGTAGAGCTGTGAGGTCACATGAGGAACATGTGGCAGACCAAGTGCAGGCAGGAGTATTGAACTAAAATGATAGGATTGTAAATTTAGTGTGTAATTCATAGTTTCAGAATTAGGTTGATTTAAAACTAGAGGTGTACCCTACTCTAACAAATGTTAAAATAGACTAATGTAAGAAAGAAAAATGGGCATGGAGGCCCTGGGTTTGAAACACAGCTCAGTTATACCTAACCTAACCTAACCTAGCCCACACTTGCCCTCCCGAGCAGTGAAAGCTCCCTTGTGCTTTCCAGCTCCCCGACAGACTGGATTGATCCTGATGCATGAAAATGGGCATGGAGGCCCTGGGTTTGAAACACAGCTCAGTTATACCTAACCTAACCTAACCTAGCCCACACTTGCCCTCCTGAGCAGTGAAAGCTCCCTTGTGCTTTCCAGCTCCCCGACAGACTGGATTGATCCTGATGCATTCGGGGCACCGGCTTGGCCTCCACGTGTTGTCACTTTCCCAATTTTATTTTTTAGTTGAACCATCCCTGGGCCTTGGTCTTTTGTCTTCCTCTCTGGTTGTCATCTGCCTGAGGTCCTCGGGACACTGGTGAGCCCTGAGGTGTGACTGGCCTGCTGGTCTCTCCCCTGTCTGGGCACGATGGCCAATGACAGTTGTCCCTCCTCTTCCGATGACTGCAGCCCAAACCAGGAGTCTGGCTGTGACTGGCATGGGTGGAGTCAGGAGCCATTCTCTTCCTGGAGAAGCCATCCCCTCTGCGGTGTTTGCGAGCATGTGCCCATGTCTTGCCCCTTGGTGGGCTCTATTGGGCCCTTGGGGAAGGAACGTCTGTGCTGCGGGTCTCAGAGGCAGGGACTTGTGAAGGAAGTGTCTGCGGGTGCTCAGGCCCCAGTGGGCCCTTAGGCAACACAGGTCCCTGCTTATGGCTTAAGACTTGAGAGTTGCTCAACCCAGACTCCAGCTCAGCCTCTTGCACTACCCTTGAGCAAATCACTGTATTCCTCAGAGCCTCGGTTTAGTTATCTGTCTAAATGGGAGCAGCACCTCCCACCACCCAAAGCTGGTGTGAATCTTAAGTGGGGTGCTGATGAGGAGTTCCCAGCAGACTCAACTAATGTGAATTTCCATCCCTTCCCAGAAGACAGCACAAGCCATGTGGGCAGACTTTGTAACCTTTCCTGATCTGTAGAGTTTTTTGGAGATGTAGGTGTGATTCTTAACGTTGTCTTCCAATTCCCTGGCCCTCAAATTTAGTTGGTCACCAAACCCTATTGGTTTTACCCCTTCAGTAGCTGCTGGTTCGGTCTCCCCTTTCCAGTCCCCACTGCCACAGCCCTGGTCAGGCTGTTGCCTCGCCTCCCTGCCCTTCTCTGCTGCTGCTGGTATCCTCCTAGGCTGCTCTTCAGGCCCGGGCCTCCCTCGGTACAAGCCTCAATGTGCGCATTTCACTCCTGGGGCACAGCCACCAATGTCCCTCGTGTCTGAACTCCTTCCAGTTTTTGGCCAGCTCACGGCTCATTCCCCAGTCCCCCTGCATTTAGCTGTGGCCGTGCTGCGGGTCCTAGACGCAAGCAGAAATACTAGGTGTGATTTTAAATTTCTGCTTCACCCCTTGAAAGGTGCATGCCCGCCCCTGTCCTCTTCTCCCCTCCCGCTGG